CAAAAGTCTGTATAAAAATAAACTTGTGTGTATTCAACAATTAAAAAAATATGAAACATAAATAGAGAATTCGAAATGTAAAATGGTTTATTTTTTAAACAGCCTTGTAATGTAATGTGCATATTAGGAAAAGGAAAAAAAATACTCACTAACAGTAAGATCAGAAAATCAACAAAATTAAAACTATTAAAGTGTTAAATTTTTTCTGTGCTCACATACGGCTTTAAGTCCGGACAGTTTCTAAAGAAATAAAAATAGGATTAATGCTGCTGAGATGTGGTTTTTGAGAAGAATTATGAAAATTAGTTGGACTTCTCATACCTCCAATGAGGATGCATTAACACAGTCCGGTTATGAAAAAAAGAAATAACTACAAATAATCAAACGGGGCAGTTTTCGGTTACATCATACCAGAGGAAAAAATTGAAATCTTACAACTACTGGAAAGATTGCAGGGAGATGAGATTGCGGTCAACAACAAAAAACATTCGTGAAGTCCTTGTGTCACTTGTTGAATACCACCACTTTTCAACTACTACAAAAAGTTAAAGATCGGGTTTTGTGGAGGTCAATGATCACCAATGAATGAGGCACGAGAGAGAAAAAGAAGAATTTAATGAAATAGTGTATAATATAACATCAATATTAAAGCATGGTATTTTCTTATGATGTGTTTGCTTATGTTTATTTTTTATTGTCATTAATTTATTTATTATGATTGGTTGGTTGGTGCATATTGAAAGCAGCATCAAGCCGTCATGTATTCATAAGTACGAACGCTCCCATTCCGTGTTAAGTAGGTGGTGGAAGTTGGGAACATGTTCGTGTGTGTTCGTGCAAGTTCGTTTGAGGCGTGCTGTGAATTCGGTTTGGCATTTCTTTAACTTTAATACGGACTGCATATAAATCAACACAAATATACCAACAACACATAGATCAACACATGAACCAACACATAAACCAACAACACATAAACTAGCACATGAACCAACACGGAATCTAAACTGCAGCAGTAAATTAGAGGCTTTCTTATAAATCGAGCTGTCATATTTTCTGACATGTCCATATTCTCCTTCAAACTTGTCTTGTTTTATTTGCATTTCAATTTATTGAGTTGATTGAACTTGTTGCTTCCCCCCGCTGCACACGCTCTAGTTTCGACCGCAATTAAAATAATATTACCTTTCAAACATTTGTAGATTAGTTTAAAATTAAAAATTTACTTACTTAAATATTACGTATTATATTACAACACACACATATAAAAACACAAACACATTCATTTTTACTCTTTCTCTCTCTCTCTCTCTCTCTATATATATATATATATATATATATACGATACGATACGATACGATACGATACGATCTTTTATTTACTCCAAAAAAATGAAGCCAGGATGACTGTGATAAATCTCATAGAAAGCTCATCTAGCACAGCCACCTGAACCCAAATGTACACAAATTAACATATGTCAACCAGAAATTAAAATTAAATAAAACATCATCTTTTTTTAACATATTTCCTCTGTCATTAAAATTTAACAAAAACAATTTTAAATTCTTTTTGAACATAGTAAGTGATGTTCCGTTGGAAGAAAAATCATTTTTTTAAATATATATATATATATATATATATATAGAGAGAGAGAGAGAGAGAAAGAGAGAGAGAGAGAGAGAGAGAAAGAGAAAGAGAAAGAGAGAGAAAAAAAGAGAGAGGAGATGGCGAAACCGAAAACTCCGGTAACTATTAAATTAGCGTAGGTCTTGAAAGTTTGTACTGTACATTTTAGTTAGAGGCCCTAATCGGATCTGGCCGGCTCATGTTTAGTGCGTCTGGGAATGAGAAGCACCAGCTAAAGCGATTTGGGCGTTAAATTATTGCAGGGTTGAATGTTATAATCTTTTAATTCGAATTTATCGTGCCGAGGCTGCTTGGTTAGAACGATTCAACGAACATTTTTTACTTTTTGCTTCATTTTTATTTTTGAAAATTGTACAGGTGAATATAAACTATCCATATTAACTTACCTTTTTATTATTAGTAATGACCATATGTTTTATATATATATATATATATATATATATATATATATATATATATATATATATATATATATATATATATATATTAGCTGTTATAAAAACATTTTGGCATTTGCTTTTGAAGCACACTAGTTTATAGTAAATCACTAAATAGTGCCGCTTGGAATTTCGTCTAATTTATGTAGCGCGCACATGAGCCGCCGACAAACAAGCAGTACGTACTAAGACAACTCATCACAATGGGCCTCCGTGCATTTGAACTGACTGATGTAACACAGAAGATTGGTGTTTCATCATCGAGCCATTCGAAACTGAACGTTTTTTTAGTTTCAAACATTTATCTAAAAAATGCTTTTGAATGTGTTTATTCACATGAAAATAAGCATTATTTGTTGGAACAGAACTACGAGTTTAGACATAAACTTTGTTGAACATATATTTTAAAAGAATCAACAAAATTAATTTTCATGATATTATTTTCCACAAAGATCATGTATGTTCCAACAGCATATCTCCCGATCATCAGCGCATATTACTGCTGGAATTTTGAATAATTGAATAAGCTTGCAACGTTTGAAATGATGATGGATGCAGACGTAATGACTGTCCAGTTGGAGATAATGACCCGTCTTTTAATTAAGCACTACGCGAGTGACCATCGTATAAAAATAATTATTATGCATTATCAAACTACTCTTGTAACAATTAACTATTATTAATAGCCGCTCATTTTTGAAAAAAAAATTTTCATTTTTTTTCTGATAATCAATCTTTTTTCACTCCATTTTTATAAAATTAATGTTTGGAAAATTAAATTGGCAACATTTATAAAAAGTTTTTGATGCGCAACGTGATCTCCTTCTCCTCCTTCTTCTCTATCTTCTTTTCCTCCTTCTCCTTCTCCTCCATCTTCTTTTTTTCCTTCTCCTTTTCCTTTTAATCCATCTTCTTCTTTTCCTCCATTTTCTTTTCCTTCTCCTCTTTCTCTTTCTTCTAGTTCTCCTCAACCTTCTTTTCCTTTTTTTCCTCCTCCTTTTCCTCCATCTTTTTCTCCTTCTCCTTCATTTTCTCCTCCTTCTCTATTTTCTCTTCCTTCTCCTCAATCTTCTCCTTCTTTTTCTCCTTTGCCTCCATTTTCTTCTTTTTCACCTACCCTTCCATTTTTTTTCCTTTTTTTTCTTCTTCTTCTTCTTTTCCTTCTCCTCCATCTTCTCCACCTTCTCCTCCTCAGAAATATTTTTTTTCCATTTTTAAACATTTGCATTATATGATACTAATTCATTAACTTAACTGTCATAATGAATTATTATGCCACAAACGTCGACAGATATGCTGCGCTTCATTTGTTTGGGTAGAATCTCAAAATTTTAGGAGTAAAAATTAACTGGAAAAGAAGAAATGTCAGGAAATGATTGATGAAGATGAAGCTGCTGAAAGCGTAACATAAATTTGTTGCAACGAGAACATAACGAAATTAATGTCGTTTAAATCGTGTTAGTTTAAGAGGAGGGATCAATTAAAAAATGATTTTATTACAGCTGTTGTTAAGTTATGCACGATGTTTCTCGGTTTTAATTTGTGAGAAACGTGCCATGTATAATATTAATATTTTGCACTGAACTTGTTTGAAGGCGGTTCAATCTAAAGTCAAAGATTGTCGAATGTCTTGTTCATGTATGAGTGTGTGCGTGTGTGTATGTGTGTGTGTGTAAATGTGTGTGTGTGCGTGTGTGTCGTGTGTATGTGTGAAATTTTTTAACTTCAGTGCAGGGGCTGAAATGATAATAAATATGAAATAAAAATTTAATTTTTGGAAAATTTAAAAAAATTAAAAATTTAATTTTGTAAATAAACAATTTGGTGAGTTTTTTAAACTAAACGTAAAAATTGTTAAGTGAAACTTTCACAAGTTTGTACAAACTTGTGAATTCAAACACAGATGATTCAAGAAATAACAAAATTACATACATATGTACGTACGTACGTACGTACATACAAACATACAAACATACATACAAACTTACATACATACATACATACATACATACATACATACAAACATACATACATACATACATACATACATACATACATACATACATACATACATACATACATACATACATACATACATACATACATACATTCATAGATTTTAAATTGTTTTTATAGATGATTTTTGGGGTCATCGGCTGTAATTTTGTCCCGGGTTTGTTTTTCCGTCATTTTTTATCGTTTTTCTGCCCTGCCTCGGCCAATTTTCTCGTTTTTTGTTTTTTTTTATCAATATTATAATTTATTCACAGCTCATAGCTGCTACAGGTCACCGGCCTGCGCCAGGTGTGAGCTGTTTTTATTATTATTGGAAAGTTCACTACATTTTAACTTATTTACCTTCTACCGGCATTTATTTTTAATTTACTTTTCAAATTAAAATTTAAAGTTTAAATTAAAATTAAAATTTATTTATAAAAAAAGNAAATTTCCTAAACCAATTTTTAAAATCTGGTAAAAATAAAAATAAAAAAAAATAAACTATAAGGGAGAGAT